CTTTAGAAAGATGTAACCATAGCTTCTTAAAACTAAAAAATACTGTAGTAGCAATTAAATGCTATCCGAAGTTAATTTAACATGAAATAAATAACCTATGTTAATCTTTTAAGAGTTAAGAAATGAGAGTCAAGACTGGCAGTTTTGACAGAAATCAGAAGATATCAGAAAATTCAAGTAATATGGTAAAAATCTGCTTCTGGGTCCCTATCTTCACACCACTTAATTTGCTAAAATTATCAGAGTTAAGTCTCTTGCTGACTTTAAATGGAGCAGGGAGAGACAATTTTTTATTTTTCTTTTTTTTTAAAAAACACACGGTATTTAAAAGTCAGCAAAAGAAATAAAATAAGCAAGAACAGTGAGTGAGTTAGTATTGTTTGGCCACTTTGTCCAAAATTACAAGACAACATTGTCTTGTAACATCTCCTGCCACTAATGTGCCTCCTAACATAGTAAACTATTTGAAAAGCTAATTTCAAAAGAAAAAAAAAAAAAAATCACGAAGTAACCATGGGAGAACTGTGTAATTTTTCCTAATTAAAGTTAATTCCAAGACATTTAATTGATTTTCTCGGCCAGCATATTTTGAATAAATACTTTTAGGGAGCTTCATGAAACGTTTTTACAGTCAAAATACAGACCACTGGACACCGTTTTAAAATATAGACAAAATGTGCTTTCTCAGGAGGATTAAGCTGTCACTGTAAAAAGTTTTGTCTAAATCTAAGCATTCCTTTAAAGCAGGAGACCAAAACATCTCCATGGAAGAGCCTATCTACATTCTGAAACTGCACCAATCTGTCCATGCAGTCAACTTAGTTCAGTTTTTGTACAATGAATCTGAATGCACAGAAGTAGAACTTGACTGGCATTTTTTCATTTCAAGGTAGTATATAGGGCACAAAAAAGCCATGAGATTTTTTTTTTAAAAATCAAAAATTTTTCCCTTTTATAAATAAAATTCTGCATAGTATATTACGGTTTATCTGCAAATACATTTTCCCAGGAAGAGTTTAAAATCAAACTGAAGGATGCTCTGAATGCAGATTCCGGGTGGAAAAAGCAGCACCGGGTGCCACTCACACAGTGTGTGTCACCACACACCGTGACGCCTCAGAACTTAAGTCAGCTCATAGATTTGTGCAGGTTCACAGGGCAGCTCCTTCCAGCAGAAAGGGCACACCCTACACCACCAATGAACTTCATGCTGCACTTCCCATGACAAAAGATTCTTACCTTGCCATGGCCCAAAATACTGTGGCCTCTGGGACCCAGTTATCTTAAACAAATAAACAATTAAAAAATGCCAGTGATAATAGGGACTGCATCTTTTAGAGTTTATTCCTCCTTATTAGACTCAGAAGAGAAGATTCGGTAACTTTTCTAAGGAAGACTATTCATTAGAACAGCCTAGTTGAATTATCAGAACAAAACTGTAAAGCTTTTGTAGAAGAGAAAAGAATATGTTTACCACCAAGAAATCATCAGCACCTTTTACAGTAGTTAAGTCTATTTCAAAATGTTATGGTCCACTAAAGTCTCATTCTGTACAAACAGACAACCTTTACAAAAACAACCAACACTGGAAACATGGGCTTTCTAGAAGAATGTTACAGTTGGTCCACCCTTTAGCAGAGTAACAAGCAACTCCACTTCCATCACTCTGCCATATCATTGTACAACTTCTTGAACTACAAGACGGAGTAAGCATTGTTCCTCTCATCTCCACAGAGGAAAGCAACACCTCCCACTTCTTAAGTTACAACATTCCGGTGTCCAAGCACCATTTTCTTATTGGCTAAGTTATTAGCACAGAAATATTAGCCTACTCCTTTTTTAGTAAGAAAAAATTAATTTGTCAAAATGCACCACTGATTAATAAAAGCTTAACCACTCAGGGCACACTCGTTCCAATGTAGTTTTTGACGTGTTTTAATGACTCATTGTAAATACACAAGGAATGTGTTTGCTTATCCAACTGAAAGACAAATAGTAAGACAAATAGTAAGACCACTGTTGCAGAGCACCAGCATTCTTTAGGTAGGAAATGAAATAAAATATTGCTTAATATCCAAAATGAGACACATTACCAGACAAGAGCAACAACTCCTCTTTTGGAGGCAGTATCAGAACTGATCAAAACTAACCATAAACTGGTGACAAATCTTGTTCCACAGACATGCTTTAAAATACTGCATTTCAAAACACGGCACTATATTCCTCACATGAATAATGAAAGGTAAGCAACACATGCTTTGAAATAAAGCTAGAATTTTGGAAATTCTCCATGTCTTTTCTTAACCAATTTACACCAGCATCATGAAATAGACAAGATCTGAAAACAGCAGTATTTGTGATTGCATGATCATTTAGAGAGCTTTTGTCTTGCAAAGTCTACCCAAAGCTAAGTCTGGGTGTAAGTCTATGTTCTTTAACATGACAAGTAGTCCTGTAGCCACCCCCAATTAAACTACTCAGGGAAATCAGATAGCACGAGCAGGCCTTTAAATAGGTACAGGGAACCAGTCACTGGGAAAGCCTGTATGCTCCACTGTGCAAGGACAAACTGAAGCGGTCACCATAAGGCAAACAGAAAACAATAAAACTTCAGCTTGCTAACCGATGGTTCAGGATTAGCTTGAGAATTTACCATGTATCTCTAAGTGGTACATTCTCTTACCCTAAAATAATAAAGTATGAAACTTCCTCTAAAGTGAGGGAAAACAGGTAGTTTGACTAACACTGAAAGCAAACATATTCTCACTGAATATGCAAAACTTGAGATACCACCCTGAAAGCCATCTGAGGTCAAATCTAACAGCACTGATTTACAGAGCCAAGAAAACCTAGAATAATTTTGTCAGAAATTTTAACTGTATTTGTAAATTAGAAAGACAAACAAAATGCTCCTCATGGACAAGGCATGCACCACTACCACTCTTTTAAACACTTCTGATCCACAGAACACATGCAAAGTAATTCATACATGGATCACTCTTGGCAGTACAATGCTTATCTTTCCCACTTTGACTTCAGGGGCCTGAAATTTCTTCACCATCTACTTCTCAGTCACTGCAGTAGTTTTAGGAAGCTAAGCAAAGCCCAGAAGTGGATGGAGTGCTCACCATCTGAGCTTACACTTCACTGGATGGGAGCAGGTGCCATCATTGTCTACAATCCAAGTCATGTGCAATCACAGTATGACATGTCCCTTCCCGGGCTATACAAGCTTGCATCTTTCCCAGAGGCCACATCATGAAAATGATGCATACAAATAAAACCCAAAAATAAACACTTTAAAACAATGGCTTAAATGACTGCATAACTGAACTCAGCAGCTGGAAACACAAAGCACTCCCAGTGGCAAAGCATGCATCTTTCACTTGCAAAGTGCTAAAATATATTCTTATTAGCAAGCTCCACACCACACCTAGCAAGCAACCCCAAAGTCTGGGCTGTTTCCCAAGGCCAGACAACACGTAAATAAATAAATAAAGCAGAGGGCATCAAACACACTCCTATGCAAGCAAAGCTTTGACGTATTCAATGAACTTTCTACCACTGATTTCAATACACCATCTAATGCACCGAATATGGACAACATTATCTCACCTATTTAGACTACTTTCAGGCCTGTTCTCAGGAGTTTCTCTGCCAGACTGTTTAGATTGACTTAAGATCACATTCATCTGTACCAGAAACAGAAGGAAACAGGAAGAAGACTCCACAGTGCAATCTAGGCAATTTAATTCATCATAAATACTGCAGTATTACATATGATCCACTATAAACTGTGCAATCCTGGGCTGGTTTACAGTAGATTTAAAAATTTATCAACTCTGTGATAATAAAACTTCAGAAGATAATCTCAACAGTTTAAATACTGCAATTCTTATTCTCCATTGCTTAAGGAAAGGAAAATATTGTGGAAGAAACACAACAATTGATTAAAAAAAGTCACAGCTTGGTATCTTCAAACTAAGAAACACTAAATCAAGATACATGTTTTTACTTTACAAATAAAAAAAAAAAAAAGCTTTTTTTTATCTTAACACTGAAAAATATCCTGCCTTTTGCTCCCTGAAGGTTTGATTTTTCCACACCTAGCTCTAAGGAGACTGGATTTATGATGATGTTGTTCTAAGGAACTGTAGAAGTTCTAGATGCCAATAAAGATTACAGATCAAATGAAAGATAACTAGTAACCACTGTGTCTGCATAGATAAATGCACAGATAAACACAATCACTTATTTTATTTCTACTGTTACCTTTACCAAGCCAACTATAATAATCAGGACAGTAAGGGATCAGGAATCAGATCTGAAAACAAAAGGTTTCTTATACCTCTCTCCCTGCCCAACTTATATGGGTACAAATGCACCACACATACACACCTTTCAAAAATTTTTCATGTATTTAGGAAAGGGTGAAGCCCTGATGATAAACGAGAGAACTAAGCAGAAAACAAAGTGATGGGGGAGTCTGAACACAGGTACCAAAATAGGAGCAGCAACACATTTACAGGCAGCCCTGTCCCAGTCAGATATGTAGTACACCGGGAAAAAGCAACACCAGCCAGAAGAAAGCAACACGTGGACAAAAACCTCCGGTGCAGACCCACTGAGACCCCCCAGACAGCGGCCAGCCCCGTGTCACCGACAAGTCGGAGACCAGGAGGAGCCGGGACTCCGACCCACCCGGGAGCCGTGACCGCGGGCAGCCGCGGAGATCCACGCGGCAGCAAGTGCTGCCGAGGGAAAGGGGCAGAAATGAGCCCCCGCTCCCCCCCACCCCACGACGCAGGCAGCCCCAAGGCGATTGGGAGATGGGCCACCGGCAGCCCACCACCGCACTGACGACGGCTTTTGTTCTCCATGGAGACCGGCACAGACCCGTCAGCTGCGCCCGCTCCGAGCCCCCTGGGAACCGCTCGTCGCGGGGGAGAGCCCGCTGCCGGGGTCAGGAAGCCGGTCCCGCCAGGGCGGTCCGCACCTACCTCTCTTCGGCCTGGGGAAGCTCTCGTGCAGGTGAAAGACGACTTTCTCTACAAAGTGCTGAATGTTGCTGTGCTCAGGCCCTCTGACAAACACCATCCAGTCGTGGGTGAAGCCCTCCACGGTGGGTTTCTTCCTGACCTGGGCTCGGTGCCCCAGCTCCAGCTTCACCTGGACGGCGCACTGCGGTGGGAAAGGCAGGGAGCGGCCGGTGAGCGCCCGAGGAAGCGGCCCCATCGCAGGCAGAGGCGGGGGCACAGGCGGACAAAACAGTACTGTGAACCCGGCAAGAAGAACAAAAACGGAAAGGCACCACCGCAACAAAAACTGGGCCCCCCAGGCGAGGGCGTAGAAGAGCTCTTACTGCCCACCGGGAGGACGCGGGGAGGCGCGGCCCCCAGCCCGCGGTGCCGTCCTGCGGGCGCGGGCAGCGGGGGCCGCTGTCAGGGGTGCACCGTCCCCCCTCCCGGCGCCTCCACGCTGGCTGCCCCACGGTGCGGCGGCAGGAACATGGCTGAGGCGACACCCGCCGCCTTGCTCCGGCTGCCTGCGTGCTCCGTGCCGCTGCCGGCAGCCGCGGGGAGGCAACGGGAGGCAGCGAAAGCCGCCCTCGAAGAGAAACCCCCCGTCATGCCGACCCCTTCCCGGCAGCGAGCAGCCTGCGGCGCCGGGCAGCGCGGGTCGGGGGGCGCGCGGTACTCACCGAACTAGCCATGCCTGCGGCGCCCGTGCCGCTGGGACGCTCGTTCCCGTCCCCCGCCCCCACCCCGCAGCGCTAATTCATGAAGACGTGGAGGGGACGGCTGGCGCGCAGAGGAGCGGCGAGCGGCCGACGGCCACCCGCGGACATCCTCTGCCTGGCTGCTCCCGCTGCCTGCCCCTGCCTCTGCCTCCTCCCCTCCGTCGCGCCGTACCGAGCCCACAGCAGCCCCGCCGGCTGGGCAAGCGCCCGCCACGCATGCGCACAGCACGTCTGACTGACACCGAGACACACACACAAGTGGGGGGGGGGCGGACATGGGGGGCGGGGGGGTGGGGTGGTGCAGTCAGCCAATGGCGGGCGGCGAAGCGGCCGCGAGCCCCTCCGCAGGGACGGGCAGGGGCGGGAGCCGACGGCGGCGTCGTAGCGAAGCGGGAAGGGAAACTGAGTAAGAACAGCCACGAACAAAAAGAGAAACGGGGTAGCGGTCTTCTCCTCAGGCGGCGCCGGGTGAGGAGAGCCCGAGGAAGCGGCGCGCAGCGAAGGAGGCTGCCGGCCTGCTCTCCTCACGCCAACGGCCGCGGCGCCGGGCCCTGCTCCCCCCGCGACGCCGCTCCCTGGCAGGCGGGATCCCCTAGCTGTCTGCGACGGCGTGGGTCGCGGTGGTTTGAACCCGCCGTGACCAGCGGAAGGAGCGAGTAACTCCTCGGAGCTGAGAAACGGCAACACGCTGGGACCGGCCGCCCGTCGAGATCTGCTGGCCTCAAGCCTATGAGACAGCTTCGGCCAAAGTTACGTAAAAGGAGTCCTTGTGCCAAAGGTACACCAAAAAGAGGACCTTCCTCCCCAAACCTCAGCCTCTGTCTCCAGTACCGTCACAAACAAACGTTTATGAGAAGCCCCCCATAAATCATTTTCAAAAAAAAAAAAAAAAAAAAAAAAAAACAAAGGGAGAAAGACACGAAGGGAGTGCCTTAATTGCACAGGTATGACAGGTGATGATGAGCAGCAGGCAGGAGAGGACACTCAGGATTATTTAACACGTACCTGTGGCACTAACTGCTATTTCTACCATGAACAGGCTGATACTCATTTAAAACAGCAGTTACTACCTCGATGATTTCCATATCGCTTCTGTACTTTGTGAGGTAACGTGCTGATTCATGTCACAGGAATATGTCAGTGCAGAGCCAGAAGTGATTTACTGTGAACATCTAAATCATGGTACTGACACTCATGATACGTGAGATGAGTGTTTTCTGACAGCCATAAGATTGTCCGAAATCATCCATACTAACTTTTGCCACACAGAAAACTATTTTTGTCTGTTCAATAGTTATATTTTTGATTGTTTTTCTGATGACAATTATAACTCAATGATTCTACAATCAACACAGCAATCCTTTTCACAAGAAGTATTACACACACGCTCACAAAACACCCTCCCTGGGTGTCCCAGATTTCACCCAGAGATGGCGTATGGACTCCTTACACTAATGTCCTCGTTTGACCTCTCCAGAAGCCTCTAACCATCCACAGTTTGCATCATCTCTCTTTTCACTTCAGAATGAGAAATACGCATTATTGAATTTCTAGCAAAACTGCCCTTCAAGCATAATAATCCCTTCAAAACTACTGAGCTATATCTTACTTTTCTTACAGCTGTTGTAAGCCTTAATTAATAAAATCAGTACTAACAACTCAAAAAGGTTAATACAATTGGTAAACATTCCCCAAGTTACAGTGGGACTTTAAATTTATTAACATTAACTCCCAAGTATATGAATATCCATGTTTTAAAATTGCAATGTGCAGATCTAGTAGTTGACGTATCTTCTACTAATCTTGTGTTGGGCTAGCCAGCAAGCCAGCACACAAAAGAACTCCTGTTGAATCCATAAACCCATCAAAACTGATTCCGGTAAATTTAAACTCATCTTTGTACACGCAAGATAAATTAAAAAAGATACCGATATTGTTTACCAGAGTAAGGATTATGGACGAGGAGTGACAGCAAAGTTGAACTGCTACCGCACTTAATGCAGCAGGCTTCCAGGTGTCAGGGCCAATCTGAACAGAATATCTGAAGGCTGAGGATTCCCAGCATTTCTCCTAGAAAGGTTCCATTTTTGCTGTGGCTGAGCTGCTCTTCTCAAGTGTTCAGTCACTTAAAGCACTTGAGAATGGATTGTCAAGAGCATTTAGCATTCTAGAGCACTTTGGTTTCATTGGAAAACAGACTTTCAAGCATTTTTGAGCCAGTGAGGGAGTTTCCCATTCAGAAGACACTGATTTTTTTGGTGCTTAATCACAAGGTATTCTTCCATGTTAGTGCAGTTTCCCAATAATAACAATAATATATACACTAAAATTATTTCGCCTTTCATTATTGGCACCTATTTAATTTCAAATCATATATGACCTTTCATTATCAAGTAGTGCAACTCCTGGAAATACTGGTTGATTCCTGCGACAATAAATTTGAAGCACTGACAGTAGTAACTGGGCATGATTATTTAAATCAGTATCAAACCAACCCTCTGTCTTTAGTTCCGCCCCATCACCTACATTCCAACATCACAATACACTGCCAATCACAGCATTAAATTCACAGTGAAGAAATGGAAGATGTGCTTCTCTGCTATCAAAACGTTGCTACCACTTCTTTCTTAGCATGGCAGATGCATAAGTCTTATGACAGTTAAAATACATATTTCAGTATATTATTGCCTTTAAAATATTAGTCAAATGCATTTAAATTAGTAACAGGAAAACCTTCATTTAGTCCATAAAGATGATACGATTTTTAAAGATAGGCAGCTAAAATTATACGTCACAGTGGGTATTTGAGCTCGTACATAAATGGTTTCATAGATATTTGAATGCATTGAACACATTTATGCACTTATGCAGAAAGAAGAAAAATGCTCTATGATACAGATTCATTACTGAAACAAGTCTATGGAATTATTTCCATACTCAGTGACTGCAGTATCAGCTGTAAGAGACCTTTTTTTACTTTGTATACCCACAGCTTTAAGACTTAAGGACTACAAAATGCTGCCCTGAAATATTAAGGTACAGGCAATATTTTATTTAGGAATGTATATTGGAATCACTGTGGTTCAAAATGCTACTATATATGAATTCCTGTCTTCACTACATCTTGCTAGCTAGAAAGTAAATCCTTTTATAGTATCTCTCTACATTTCTGGACAACTTTTCAAAGATCTTGACTGCCTGTTTGTTTTCCTTCCTTATTTACATAGCAGTTCGACATAATGAAGAATATATTTATATATTTGCTTCCTATTCTGGGGCAGAAGTTGGAGGCACCATCTTTCTGTGTGATAAATTATGTTCTGTTATGAGGGAACCATATAAGGATACAACACTTTTTTTCAGCTGTTGTGGTTTGAGCCCAGAGGGCAACTGAGCACCATGAAGCCACTCACTCACCCTTTTCCTCTCAGGAGTAGGAAGGAGAAAATGAAGAAAAGGCTCCAGGATTGAGGTAAGGACAGGGAGGGATGATTCACCCATTATCGTCACCAGCAAATGACAGACTCCTTAGGGGAAGAAAAAATGAGAACATCAATTTAATTCAAACACTAAGAATAACAACACTTAACAGACAGAGTAGGACAGTGAGAAGCATTACCACATCTTAAAAACACTTTCCACCCACCCCTCCCTTCTTCCCAGGCTCAGCTTTGCTCCCGAGTTCTCTATCTTCTCCCCTCCAGTGGTGCAGGGGGCAGGGGATTGGGGTTATGGTCAGTCTGCTGCTTCTTCCTCCTCAGGGGTAGCCTTTCTCACATTCTTCCCCTGCTCTAGTGTGGTTCCCCGCTCACAGGAGACAGTCTTCCACAAACTTTCTTGAACATGAGTCCTTCCCATGGTATGCAGCTGTTCCCAGGCTGCTCTGGTCAGCCCCACATGTTGCAATACTCCCAGTGCCGAATTATGACAGTGGGGACTTCTTCTTCCCAGAAAGTCCAAGCCTTCTTTGGGTGGAGCCATTTGCTCCAGCATGGGGTCCTCCACAAGCCACAGATGGGCATCTGCTCCACCAGTGACCTCCATGGGTGGCCGGAGATGGCCCTGTCATCTCACCATGGGTTATCAGAGGTGTCTCTGCTCCAGCACAATACCTCACTTCCTCCTCCTTTCTTCCATTGACCTTGGTGTTTGCATAGGTGTTTTCTTCACAACTCCTCCTCACAACTCCCCCTCCCAGGTTCCCATACATAAACACATTATCGAAGAGGCACAGCCACTGTCACTAATTCCCCCAACTTGGATCCAGGGGGAGCTTTGAGAAGCTTCTCACAGGGGCCACTGCTGTTAGCCTCCTTGCCAGCTATCAGAAACCCCACCACACAAACCCAGTGCACAACTTAATTTGAATGGAAAAAATCAGTATGGACAATTTCTATCTATGAGTCACATCATGGTTTGGTTTGTCTCAGTAGGAACAAGGCAGACAAAGTAGTCAAATGCAAAAATAAAAGCATCATTCCAAGTTGGAATAGTTCTACTTCTTGTCCATCTCCTTCCAGCTTTTCTTCTTCTGCAAAGATTTGAATTAGTCTTCCCAAGTTTGTTCTGGAAATCACCATTACATAATATAATTACAACCTTTCTGCCTGTTTACATTTATCTCTCCCTCTGTGTAATGACATGAATGATCCATAGCTATAGTTTAGAGAGAAGTCATGGTGGGCCTGATCCTGAATGTATGTTCACTAGCCAGGATCCATGGTATGGATGGAAGCATGTGCTTCCATCTTAAAGGTCTGCAAAGATGATTACTATCTTGGAGGTTAAGACCCATGATGACATATTTTTATACAAGATAAACTTGAACATTTATTTATATGCCCTGCTTTTCTCAGAAGACCGTAAATATAGGATTTTATTTTTTTATTTCCTCCTGATATGCTAATTTCTGAGAAAGGAAGTGTTCTTTTAGGCCTGGCAGCAACATATATTCTGCAAAAGAGCTGTCTTTTGTCTTCACAGAGTCTGTGTCTCTGTGTTCCTGCTAGCTTTTATGATGAAGTCAAGAAACCAAAATCCCTTCTGAGTCTTTGGAGATTTTTCCTGAAAGCCACAAAACTATAATCACTTTAATGGTTGCCCTGTTACTTTATGGTATCTTTGGCACTTTTTTTTTTTTTTTTTTTTTTTTTTTTTTCACGGGAATAAGAGTGTAGGTGAGCAGAACAGATTT